CCTGGAACATCTAGACAATGTACTGGCATTAGTTTTTCATGGTGCTGTTGCTATTTAACAGATAACCTATTTCTAGAAAAAATACCTTCCTCTGAAAAAGTACTTTTTTATGTAAGTAAGTCACTAAGTGATTGTGCAACCAGCCTTGTGTTGTGCCAGGCTGCTTTGCCATGAATACATTTGTCACAGAAGTATGTAAAATTATCTTTGTTTCTGAAATAAAAATTACATGTATGATTTAATGGAACAGGAAGATTCTCTGGCTTCTTTAAGCCACAAGAGATTGGATTCCTCTTTGAATGAAATTGGATTTGTTGACTCCTATTTCCCCATCTGCCTGTGCTTCTTTTTTATACACAGAGGAACAGACTTGACAAGGTTTCTGTTCTTGCATGTGCAGATCAAGTCTGCAAACCCTCTTTCTACACTCCACACTTAATTTTGGTTTTGTTTCTGCAATGTGCAAGTCCCAAGACTTAAGGAAAGAAGATACTTTCCCCTCTTTAAGCTTTGCAGCATCAGTTTGGTACCAGTACTTATGCCTGCGTGGAATTACCTAAATGGGAGGGTGGGAGCAGAAGAAAGAGAAGCCATTATGTTAGAACTCAAGAGACTTGGTGCTCATCTAATAGAATAAGAAAATGAGCCACAAGAAAACCCACTTAGTGAACTCCTTTGCTGTGGTGCTTACCTGCTGTAAGCGTGGCAGGCGTGTGGTCAGAATATCAAAGCATGGGTCTGAGGTGCAACAGTTTATTGTCATAGAAAGTTGTTTCTTAAAAGGCTTCAGACGTAGTGACTGCTTTCACACTCCAGCCCTTCCCATTGCTCCCTTTGGCCTTTCCACCTGAGCTTCAGCCTGTATATCCCTCAGTGCCCTTTGTCCTCACCCTTTCCCAAGCTGGCTGCTGCGCGATCCCCATGTTCTCCCCCTGAAAGCCTGCTTTCTTGCTGCCGCTGCATTGTTTGTCCTTGTGTCTTCTCAGCCTTTCCCCTCTCATGTCTGTTATCATTATAAGCTGTATGGTCTTAGGGTGGAGATAACCTGCTCTCCAGATTCATGCTCTCTTGTGCACTGGATAGGAGACACTGGTCATGGGTTGTCTCAAAGCCACACCATGGCTCCCAGCACCTTACACACTTTCCCTGTCTCCCCAGGACTGCTGTGTGAGCTACGGTGGAATGTGGTATCTTAAGGGGACGGTGCAGTCCTGACAGTGGTGGTAGCGGTTTCAAGTGATATCCAGGACGAAAGAGGAAACCTGCAGTGGGCGGCACAGGCAGAGTAATGCCGTGACCTCGGGAGTGTGGGGCAGGACCTGACCTACTTTGGGGCACCTGGGCATTGCAGGCAAGACAGTCACTGACATCCCAACACGCTCACACCCGTGTCTGCATGGCCACCTAGGCGCAAGAGCAACTGGGAGAACAACATGGGACCCTGTCTGCAGCTTGATTAATCGGGGACTTCTAATGTATTTCAGTTCTCGTTCTGTTTTGTTATAAAGAAATAAAACCATATGCTGACACAGACATGATGGAAAATCATGATCTAATACTTTATAATTAATGCCAATAAATTAAATTTGTTTACAAAAATCCCAGTTTTTGTTAAATACGTGGATGCTCATGCTTCAGGCTGAGCATTATAACAGCCCGTGCAGCCCTCTCTATATAGAAAGAGAAGACAGTCATGTTCATGGAAATGCCAGGCCAGGGAGGGGGGGGGGGACACAAAATCTTTGAGCTCTGTACTACATAGTGACTGTTCTTGCCTGTTGTCTGTGGAATGAGTCATTTGGAAAAGCACCTGCATTTAGAACAGATGCAGAACAACTACTGGATTGCTTTTAGTGGTGCAGGTTTTGTTTGGGGGACTTTTTGCATTACTGAATGCAAATGCAATGAGGTAAGTACATACGTAAAGTAGCTGAGTGCACCCTCTGGAAGGCATCCGGTTGTAGTTGTCACATGGCACCAATGTAAAACCTCTATTTTGTGTAATTTTTTTAATAAAATTTTATCTCAAAGGTCAATTCTACCCAGCCTCGTATTTGTCCGAGAAGAAGTGGAAGGTGCACCTACTCCTTTTGTGGCCTGAAGGCTTATGGAGGAAGGAAAGGTCAGGAATGTTTTAGCAGAGGTTAGAGGTAGATAGTGAACTGCTTTACATCGTTCTGCTTGTACCATGTTCTGCAGGGTGTAACTAGAGGTAGCTGTTGAGCTAAGGGCCTGCTGTGTGATGTGTGGTAACTATTGCAGGTTTATCATGGAAGCCTGGTTGTGATATAGTTAAGGAATATCCTTCTGTGTAAGCACTGTACAAGATGGTTACTTTACTGGTCATGTTCTTTTCTATACTTTCCATCACATGAGAACCTCAAGGAGATTCTATTAATTTCATCTACTTATGCTCTGAAAAGGCGAGTTGTTGACTAAAATAAGCAGATTAAGGTAGTTAATCCTTAGGCTAAGAATATTGTTACCATACTTACAACATCTCACATTTCTGTGGAAAGTATCTATTTTTAAACTACTAAAATTCTACCTTAATTAATATGCTAGTGTACTTTATTAACTTCATCAGTGTATCAGGGAGGTGTTTTAAGTTCAGGCTGCTTTTGCAGCCTTTGTCTTGGTTGGTGGCATGCACCCAGCACAGCCCTGTTGCCAGAGCAATACCTGTGGCTGCATCTAAAAGCTGCCCTCCAGGAAGGCCACAGTCTAAGAGAGGTTATGAAAGCAGAGCCCAGTCTTGGAGTTTTTTATTGCATAATATGTACAGTTAAGGTTAAAGTACAGTACAGCCAGAGCCGAGCACCGGCACAGGCAGCCAAGGGGAAAGTTACACTGCAGAAGAATCAAGTAGTTCTGTGGAAATCCAAGGACAGTTTTGGTATTTTTAAAGCATAAAAATGGTGTATATGAAAGTACTCTAAATTAGCCAACAGTAACAACCCACTGGAGATCACCAATTTCACCAAAAACTGAGTTTTACGTGTCTTCTGGTCTGGCAGGTATGGATCCCCCTTCCCCTAATGCAGTGAAGAGGGAGCAGTAAAGGGTTTGTGACGAACATGCCATACCCTTCTTATGTAGGGTTACTGCTTCCCCATACCCGACTCAGGGCAGACCTCCAGGTGATACAGATCTAAGTGTTAAGGAAACAGTGACAATACAGTTAACCTGATGGCAGAACAGCAGCTTTTCTGCTTTTTGGTTTTTCCCTTCTTTTTGAACACCCCTGACAAACACCACAACACTGAGGAGAAACTACTTCATTCCCCCTGGATTTCTATCCTAGACAGGCCTATGCTTTTCCAGGTGGCATAACCTTATTAAAAATACAGCTGTAATGGGAACTCCATCTGAGCCATGTGGGAAAGATTCAAGGCTAGATAACACAGGTGCCATCTGCAACAAGTTTACTGGTCCTCAACTGGCACACATGGGTGTAATTACTAGTTACACATGTGGCTTGACAGGATTATTTATTTGTTTAGAAAAATACAAGAGTCAGATTTCCATTTTTAAATAATCCTCAAAATGCAATACATGTTTTAGAGAAACTCCCACAAAATGAAGTCTTAATACTGCAGCTGAAAAAAAGCTATCCACAAGCTCAGCAGGGTACAATATAAGGCAAACTGGAACAGCCACATTTGAACTAAAGCTGAGAAATTGTCAACATTCTTTGTCAATAGTTTGGTCTATCACAGCAACTCAGGCAGAAAGTTGATCCCAAGAAGACCCTTTAATAAGGAAAAGGATGTCATCTTTCATTGTGCCTTCCCCCTCTTAATCTCTTAACCTTTGTTTTCTTAAGATTTTGAAGCAGTTTTAAAGAACATACTTCCCCATGTTCTTTGCTTTTCAGAATTTCAGTATATATAGATTATTATAAGGGAGTGGAGAAGGAGAGGAAGAGTAAGAGCATGGAAAACCCCTGTTTTCAGTAGGATGCGTTCTGGCAGCATTGTGTCCATCCTCCCACCCCCCCAGGCAGTGTGGAATCATCCACAGAAGCCGACATTGGAAGCAAGAGCCAGAACAATGTGATAAGGTTTCACCTGGCCTGTCTCCTTCAATCAAGCACTTGGAGTTTGTGGTATGTAAGACTAAAAGCTATCCTACTACATCAGTACTACTCCTAAAGTTAAACAGCTAAATTGCAACTTTCTATCTTACCAAATACACATAAAAATGTACTTTGCAGACATCCACCAAAGAACAGCAGGTCCCAAATAACAAACATCATCAATTCACAGTATCTTGCCTTCAGACAAAGTGCCCTACATAACAAACCATACCTAAAAAGCCACGCAAACTTTACATCAAATCCTTTCTTAATAGGAAGACATTTATACTAATCTGAGGGAGAGCTTAGTGCATGTGAAAACATGGTACTAGCTTAAACCCAGCACAGCTGAGGCTGCTCTGCCAGCTCTCCACCTCCCTGCCAAAGCAAGCTCAGCTAGACTGCTAACTTCATTCTCAAGAACTGAGGAGAGGCTGCCCAGGACACTGGTCATAGGCTTTGGTTCTACTTATTTTCCACAGAGATGTAGTTACAGGGCTAGATCATCAATGTGAACCAAAGGAAAGCTTTAGTTTGGTTCCTTGTGAGAGTACAGATTTCTAAGCTCTGTTACTTTTTAAGTGGACTAAGGAAATTAGAGTCAGTTAACTGCTCTGGCCAGAGATTAAGTGTAGTATGAAGTAGTAGTGTAGTATTAAGCTATGATGTTTGCTTGCTTTACAACCACTAGTTTGTGTGACAGTGCTAAACAACATTAAATCTATTGCTACGTAGGTACGGGGAGACTAGCTGTTAACTAACTAGGTTGTTAACTACAGGCCTACAAGCCAATTCAAAACATTCATTTTGAGTGCTCAGGAAATACATTGTAAAAGGGGTCTTCTGACACTGGTGTAAAGTTTTTCCCCTTCCTGACTAACAGATCAGTCATCAATAGAAAACGGTCATCATCCTGTCCAATGTTATGGCTGAGAGGAGAGGGACTTGTACTTAGCTCTGTGTTCATCTATTTCTTCCTTTGTTTTTTTGATACAGCTAAAAATTTCCTTAAAGAGTGCTTTATATTCAGGAAGAGCATTTGTGGGAGAGTCACTTAGCTCCACATTTGTGAATTCTTGATTGCTAGTTGGAAGATCATACTGGGTATTCCCTACAGTTAGGTCTTTGGAATACTGCTTCGGCGTTTGTACAGCCTTGTTTTTCAAAGAATCTTCAGCCATTTGACACCTCTTCAAAAGTTCCTCATACTTCACTTTCAGAGCATTATACTGAGCATCAACTTCATTAAGCACAGAGACTCCTCGCTGCTTCACAGCTTCAGCTCTCCTAATACATGTTTCTTCGTGGTCCCTTAGAATGTCTCCCCCTGCAGCACTGCTCAGGAAGGTTTCACTGCTGCTCCGTTTCAGTGCCTTCTTCTCAAACTCCGATACAGTCAGAAGTCCATCATCTGCTGGGCTCTGACCAAGCTCCCTTTCTAAAGGCTCCTTGAATGAAATGAAAAAGGATTCTGGCACCAATTTCTCCGTTTTATGTAATGTGTTTTCAGACTGAAGTATTTGTCGCATTTCAGCTACTTCCACTTCCAACTCTTCTGCACGAGCCCGATACAAGTCTATATCAGCAAGCCTCTGTTCAAGTTCACTATTTTCTTTTACCATAAGACTGTATTCTTCTTCCATCGTTACCCTCTTCTCTTTTTCTAGGTTCAGTTGGGCTTGCAGAACTGTGACTGCCTTTTTTAAGTTCTCATTTTCTTCTTCTAGAGGACTTAGCTGATTATCCATTGAAGTAATCTTTTCTGCAAACACATGGTCATAAACAAAATACCTGCAGAAACAAAATAAGTATGATCAAATGTAGGAAGTACAGCTGACCACACCTCCTAAAGTTTTCCTGTCCTGGGTAACTAATGACAGATTTAAACTGCATGCTATCATACCCCAGAGTACACACAGTGGTCATTTTACTAAGCTATCTGTCCATTTAATCATCACAGCAGAGTTTGTAAATATTGATACACCATCAAATCAAGCCTCCCAGCTTAAGCAGAACGGCAGCTTAGGAACAGTTTCAAGTTACAGACAAGCTTATTGAATAAACAGACCTACAATGTAAGTTTATTTAAACATTGCCTCCATGTATCAGGCAGTATTTAGACACTCATTTTTTTTCTGCAGCATTCCACTCTTTTAACTTTTGTCACTGTTGATTGTGGAAACAAGCATCAAAATTGACAAGGCAATTCTGTAGGCTGGTACTTCCACAAGCCTTTGGCAATTTGAAGGAATACACTTATTTAAATTATCGAGGAATAACTGCCAAAAGGAAGTTTGGATGTACGGATTTATTCTACAGCCCTACCTCCATGTAGTGCTGAAGCCCAAACACAAAAGCCTGTTCTGTCTGTGGAGGTGCTTCACTTACAAAATTATCTTTCATTTCATAAGTGAATCTGCTAGGACCGAAGGTAGTCTGAGCTTTTACCCCAGGTGGTTGTCCTGATGGGCATACTAATGCAGTTCAGCTGGGAAGAACTGCTCTAAATTGAAAAGGCAGCCCAGAGCTCCAGGCACCATTTTACCAGCTTAAGCATCATTTTAACCACCTTAAGTTCAAGAAGGCTATTGCAGGAATCCTGCCTTCCTTGAAAAGAAAATATCCACAGACATCCAAGGAAAAGGTAAGTTACATAAAATATTTTGCATGTAGGATGTTTGTTTTTCAGATTATCTGTCTGGTTTTATCTGGCTAAAAAAAAAGTGGGGTGCAAATTGCTGTAAACTTTCTAGGCTACAATTTGATATGGTTGGAGACTTTGGGAGAGAACCTTTCAAGGTAGTTCCTCTCATACAAATATAATATGGTCTAGAAGTGCACCAGAAGCAGCAGCACCACCACACGGTGCAGGACTGTGCAGCTGCACTGACAGTTGTGAACACCAGGTGTTTTTCTGCTAGCTTGTTTGACCTCTGTGCTTGTGTCTTAGTTTTTAGAGCTTTGCTTAAAGTAATTCCAGTATTCTCTTTGCTATGCGAGGTAAAAATTCTTACTGGCGAAGATCATACAGCTCCTTCAAACATGAGAAGCTATGCATTGATCTTGGCTGGTCAGATCTCTCGTGGTTCATCCGGCCTCGCCCAGGCTTTTTCAATTCTTCTACTTGTCGTTGCAGGTCATCTATGTGCGTTTGCAGGTATTCAATAGTCTCTGTCAAACTAAAAGGTGAAAGACATACAATTGCTTAATCACGGAGATGGGAATTTCCCATCCCTTCACAGTGTATTTTCTTCTCTGAAGGCTGTTCTTTGGCCCCAAAAGACCTTCAAAATACCCTATCCTTTCACTTTAACAGTACTGTAGAACACTGCTAGACAGAGATGGCCACCCAGTAACTACACAAAAATACACTTGGAGTGTTCTTTTTCACATTATCTAGGACAGATCTCGTAAAAGTTTACCTTAATATCTTTTGTTGGGAAGCTCTACTGTCTGCAACTAGTTTTTGATTAGTGTCTTCCAGCTCTCTTGCTGTCACATCCAGCTGCTCATAGACTTTGGCATGCTGATCGTTCATCTGACGCAAGAGCTCCACTTGCTTTGTGAGGTACTGCAAGACAGTATTGCTGTTACTAGTTTACACTTGAAACACAGAGACAGGACTAGTATTCTGCAGTTCTATTCATATTCATAGAGAAACTACTAAGTTTCAGAAATGTAGACTCCAGTGGTTGCTTCGTTCAGTTGCAAAAACACCAGTAACTCAGTTTGCCTTAGTCATGGAGATCAACCCCCATGGATCAACAAGCCTTTTATCCCAAGGAGCTCGGTTTGATTGTGCCCCCTGTGTTTATCTAGACTTGCTGCAGCTAGGCTTTGGCCAGCAGCCTCCTGGAGCGGGTTTGTCCATATTGCAGTTGTCACTGATACAGCTTTGAATCCAGACTTCAACATAGCCCTTAACTACCTACCAAGTCCTTCCAGAAGTTACAGTGAGCTCCAACAGAGATTGCCTAACAGCGTTGACCCAACAATTTTCTTAGCATTACATCTGAAATATTATGCAGCACCATCCGTAATTAAATTTCTTTTCAGCTGACCTATGTTTTCCCCGTCTGAAGCAGCATTTAGGTTCAGCAGAAGAGAATTTAGGTTGTGGTCACACTTAAGACAGCATATGCGCTACTATGCATCAGGAATCACATTACTGAATTCAATCTTTAATTACTCACAGGGAACTAATCCCAAACAAGGTCTCCTGCCTTTTTAGAATAATAAAACTACACATGAAGTATTCATTTTAATCCTCTTTAGTTTTACAATGACCCATATAGACTTAAGTTTCTTGAGTAATGTCAGAAAGCTTGGAATTCTCAGTCCAAGAGCAGTTAACAATCACATAAAGCTCTTAAAACAAGTGTCTTAGATTGTCCCACCCAGGATAGGGCTGACCCAGTTATAAAAATTTACACAATAATTTGCATGATGCAGACATGAACAAAAAAAACTAACCCTTTAAATCTGAAATACTTTGTTCTTACATAGAATTTATTTCTTGCAATACATTCTGTATTACTACATGCTACTTACTGAAAAGTAAACTTCAAGTAGGAGCAGCCAGACTTGTCGGCAGAATTACTTCTCTTTACATAGCCCTGTACATACTCAAAACTTCTAATATTCTACTTAACCTGTTACCTCATTAAAAGATTGCTGAGTTTACATTTTAGGCAATTTAAGAACAGATAATAAGTTAATCTAAGACTAGTAACTGCTCCATGCAGACTTCTAGAAGATCAACATGATAGCAGTTGGCTAGATCCTTTTGTAGCCTCTGTGCACATGACTGAGGATTTACACAAAAATAGTACATGGATTAGCAGCAGAATCTCAATGTGACCCATTTCA